GGTAAATAGCAATCCAGAAAATTTATTAAACAAAAAATCGAGAAAAAGCCAATAATTTATTAACAATTTTATTACTCTCTTTCGACGCGATTTCGGCCGCATTTTTCCCTTATTCTCTTCGCTCCTCACCGCCTCTGTTCTCTCTCTCTAATAGAAGACGTTGAGCAAATCCAATTCGCGTTGCCTCGCGTTCTCTCTCATCTCAATAGCTTGTCGGATTAATCAATTTGACGGTAAGCATCTCGATTTTTGAATTCTACGGTGGAGGCCGAGGATAGTGGGGGAGATTAGATTGCTACTTCCTTTCCTAGGGTTTTCGATTTCGTTTGGCGATTCGTGTCTGTTCTGGGTTTTTTCTTTTCCCTGTTTTATTCTGTTTATTGGGAAGCGTTAGATTGATAGGGTTTATTGATTGGTTAGAGGCTTTTTGTTGGCCTTTTCCGGATTCTGTGTTGTTTTCAGATGCGTATTTCGAGTCCTAGTTAAAAAAAAAATAAAAAAAAAAATCTTTTTTATTGCTTTTAGCTTCTTTTTTTTGGGGGTGTATCTGCCTCTTTATCTATTAGGGATCAGTTGGACGTCAAGGGATAGGATTGCGGGTGGTTGTTGAAACCCAAATCTAGTGAGTTGTGCTAGTGTGTTAGTGTTGGTGTTTTATCATCTGTTGACTAACACTTGTTGATATGGCTGCTGGAAAACCTGGGGGTTACAGAGACAACGAAGTTAGGGGCCGCCGTGAGTCTGATTTGGGGATGCAGAGGAATGGAAATGGGTATGCAAAAGTGGAACGGGTTCGGAATGGGGTTCCGGATTATGAGAGGGGTCAGGGTCGGGGTCACGCTCGAGATAGTATGGAGTATAGGAGTAAGGTCAGACAGAAGGATGTAAAGGAAAGGGAGGTGATAAATGGTGGGCATCACTCCATTTCTATTCGAAGTGATTCTGGAAGTAGCGGTGGTGGTGGTCGAAGGAGACATGGGCTTGAAATGAGTACCATAGATCGAGAGCCCGGGGAGCTTTCTAGTGATGGGTCTGATGTGGCTATTGATTCGGAAACTCAAGTTAAGGAAGAGCCTGACAGAAAAAAGATGGAAATTGCGGATCAGCCGTCTCCAGTGCAGAACAAGAAGCGGAAGTTTTCGCCAATTGTCTGGGATAGAGACAATAAGGAGGTAAACAGGACGGTTAAAAGTAGGAGCACTGTAGTTGCAACTAATTTAACCCCATCACCTGCATTGTTGAAATCTTATCGGCAGTCACTAAGCCCAAAACCCAACCCGGACGAGAATGCAAGGATTTCACCTGCAGATGATAATCAGATTAGATTAGAAGCGTCGCCTTCTAAACGTGAACTGAGATCTGATTTGTCTGAAATCCCAGCTGAAACATCTTCTATGCAAATTGAAGATCAGTTGGCCAAAAAGATGGAAACAGGGTCTCTCGATGATGATGATTATGTACCCACAAGAACCATTATTTCCTCCAGGTGGGCTAATGATGCTGATTCCCCTGCCGATGAAGGCGAGATTTCGGATTATGAAGACAAGCATAATTTAAAGAGGAATTCTGGTGGAGAGTCAACTGATGTGAGAAGATTCGATAAATCAGTAAGTCCTCAAGATGGAGAGGTCAAAAGAGAAAGCTCCGTGGGGACTGAAGAGAGGTCCAGTAGGTCGGATGGACGTGTTAGGTCCTCCAGTAGAGATAGTTATCATGAAGAAGATGACAATAACGAATATATGGAAATAGATGAGGACCGTACTCATGACAGTGCTAGAGCTAGCCATTCGGAGACAGATTCCGAGGATGATCGTGGTTCTCGTGGTACCTCGGAGTCCCCACAACCCCAACAAAGGAGTGTTAATATGCTTCAAGGTTGCAGAAGCGTCGATGAGTTTGAGAGACTCAACAAGATAGATGAAGGAACATACGGGGTTGTCTATAGGGCCAAGGATAAGAGGACTGGAGAAATTGTTGCTCTGAAGAAGGTTAAGATGGATAAGGAGAGAGAAGGGTTTCCATTGACTTCACTGCGGGAGATAAACATCCTTTTATCTTTCGATCACCCTTCCATTGTGGATGTCAAAGAAGTAGTTGTGGGGAGCAATCTTGACAGCATTTTTATGGTCATGGAGTACATGGAACACGATCTTAAGGCATTGATGGAGACCATGAAGCAGCCATTTAGCCAAAGTGAAGTTAAATGTCTCATGCTCCAACTTTTGAGTGGTGTCGAGTACCTCCATGACAATTGGGTGCTTCACAGGGATTTGAAAACGTCAAATTTACTTTTGAATAATTGTGGTGAATTGAAGATCTGTGACTTTGGTCTGGCTCGTCAATATGGTAGCCCCCTAAAACCATATACTCATCTGGTGGTTACTCTGTGGTACAGGTGAGGATCATCTTTATGTCTTGTATTTCATGTTTATGTATGTATGTAACTATGCCTGTAATGAAAATGGATTTCTTCAATACATGTTGGGCAGATCTATTCTATTTTTGGTGCGAATGACCTTCCACTGTCAAGCACTTTGTTGTGTTTTTAATTCTCTGTCGTATCTGTCTTATATGGTAAACTAATCATAAGTTCGATTGCAGGGCGCCAGAACTTCTTTTGGGAGCAAAGCAATATTCTACAGCAATTGACATGTGGTCCTTGGGGTGTATCATGGCTGAGCTATTATCAAAAGAACCGCTCTTCAATGGGAAGACAGAGTTTGATCAGCTGGACAAGGTAAATATAGGCCTTATTCTTGTGTAGCTTTTTTATTCTGTGGAATATTATTTGTACGAAGTATTTAGTGTAATTACTTTATCCTGGGATGAAATTGCAGATATTTAAGATCCTGGGAACCCCCAATGAGACTATTTGGCCTGGGTATTCTAAACTCCCTGGTGTTAAGGTGAACTTCGTCAAGCATCAGTAAGTATCAATATCTTGTACATTCAATCCTTTTTCAGTTTGATACGAAATTTATATTTTCTTGTTTTGGCCACTGTTTTCCCAGGCTTCCAGCTTTGGGTGATTCTGGTGTGGCTTTCTGGCCTCCATTGGTGATAGTTTCAGTGACTTTAATAAAATTCCATTGCTTCTAACTAGCTTGCATTTATATCAGGTACAACCTATTGCGTAGGAAGTTTCCACCAACTTCTTTTACTGGATCGCCTGTGCTGTCTGATGCTGGGTTCGACCTCTTGAACAAGCTTCTAACTTATGACCCTCAAAAGGTACTAATTTAAGTCTGTTCGATTTTCTTTTTTCATTAATTGATTATCCTGTTTGAGTCCTCAATAATGGATATGGTAACCCTGCAGCGGATAACTGCCAAAGAGGCTCTCAACCATGAATGGTTCCGCGAAGTTCCACTTCCCAAATCAAAGGAGTTTATGCCTACTTTTCCTGCACATCATGCGCAAGATAGGTATATGCCTATCTCGATCTGAAGTTTTAGGTGCAAGATTCTGAAATTTATCATGTTGAAATTATTGTTTTTCCCCGAATGTTTTGAAGGCGAATGAGAAGAGTAATGAAGAGTCCTGACCCATTAGAAGAGCAACGGGTCAAGGAGCTGCAGCAAGGAGAATTTGGCACTGGTGGTCTTTTTGGCCAGTAGTGTCTGAATTGGCTTCTTTGGATTCTGCAGTATCAAAGTCATGTAGCTGAGGTGAGAGCTATGGGCAGAAAGGCAAGAATTGTTTGTGAGAAAATCTCAAATTATGCTGTTTTTAGCAGGCATTTTTCGCTGAGCTTGGTGGCAAACATTTCCTGGCCTAGTACATGAGACGCTGTGCGGGTTGAAATATCTAGTTGGACTTCAGTGATATAAATAACCTGTCGTTGACGTGTCTTGCCTGGAAAGGTGTGGCATAAGACACTTCAAGAATTTATTTCTGATTGATCTTGTGTATGTAACTATTTCATACTGGCCACTGTAAACGTTTTTTTTAATTGATTTTGAACGCTATGGTTTTATTTTAGTGTTCGTAGTGTCATACATTTTAATCCTCACATTCTCTTTGCAAGAGATGGTGTGTAAAGCGGAGGGAGATTCTTAGCTTTTCATAACCGAAGAATGTGGCAGAAGTGTAGCATCCAGGAGGTAAATATTAATTATAAATTTCGGGGTGTAAACCAAGGATGAAATAACTTGCTGTTGTCTGCTCACGTGGAATGCCTTCACTAATTTGGTTTATGCCTTGGGGTTATATAAAATTAGCTCCCATATCACAGTAAAATGATTCCATATTTCTTTGTTTAACACATGGGCGTTCTTTAACAGAAATTATTGTCTATGTTTACAAGGAAAGGCTTCCCGTTATATGTTTCTCTAGCATGCAACTTCATTTTTTCCTTATACACATTTTGTGATATTTTACTACTGAATATGTTGGACCAACATGCAATAAAAAACATTGATTTTGATAGTTCTCATCTGGTTGTGCCTAGTAATTCTTGAAGATATTAAGGTGCCCTTTGCTTTTGTGTTTTGCAGTTATTCATTTTCCAATACTTTCTATGATTGAAGCAGTTTACTGATTTATTTGTCCTCCTATTTTGATTTATTTTTCTTTGACCTCCTATTTTTTATTTATTTTACCGCGTTGAGGTGCAAGATTAGCACGTCCTTGACCAATCACCTGACTTCTTTCCATGTAGATCACATATTAACTTAGTTTTCTCTCAACTTATAGCTCCTACAGCTGGGGCTGTAATAATATCTCATTGAAATTAACAAGTACCTTGCTTTGTCTGTATGTTCCTCCGTCTTAGAATGCTCGTACATCTGGGGCTGTAATAATTTCTCATTGAATATTAATCTGAAATGGCACTGCAGTACCCAAGCAAGCAGGTTGTGGGTTATAACCTGGCAATATTAGAAATCAAATTATTTTCCGTTGAGATTTTCATATTTGTGCTCTGAAGTCCAAGAAAGGTACACAGCACCTTGTTATTTGTCTCCTGAACTTGCTGTCGACCTTTTTTTTGTCCTGGTACTTCCATTGGTCTATATATTTTCTGTTGTTTTTTGGGTATTTTCTCTGTCTAAGGCTTGCAGTGCAGCGAAAAACTGATAATGAATACATGATGATCCTCACTACTTCCCAGCAATTTCTGGTTTTTATTTGAAGGGTCTAGATGGCCTTTGTTAACTTCTGCTCTCTTTAGCTTCTTTCGTTTGTGGCTTGTAAACAAAAGGTACTTAAATTGGGATTGGAATTCAAATTTTCTTGATACCATTTGTACTTGCTGGAACTTTTCTCTTTTAAATGGAAAAGTGAATTTAACCAGGCAACTAGAAACTATAACTTGGCTTAGTGTTTTTCCAACTGTTTTGGAGATAAATGTGTTGATTCTTAGCTATGATGACTTGTGTCAATGATCTCATCTAAGCATTCACCTGAGGTGTCATGTCTTTCTTTGCACTATGCTCTGTTTCTGACCCAACACAATAATGTTGCTTGGGTGATGAGGTGGCAGGGAACAAGAATTGTTTGGAATTGGCCGCATAGTCATTGCCCAGTGGTGGATTTGATTCAGAAGTGATGAAATGTAACTGAGTATTTGGGTGGGGGAAAATGAGACAGAAGTGTCGAGTCACTTGGTACATTGAGCAGTTGGCACGATTAACCTTTCTCCGTGTATTTCCTTGAAGCTCTTAGGCATGGATGGCACTTGACCACCATAACCGATCAAATTTGTCGATTTTAAAATATTAGACCTACATTTTGTAATGTTGTGGTTGAATAAATTCAATTTTCAAAATCCTCCTCCTTTTCTTATTCTTTGTGTGTGTTGTAGGTAGACATGACCACTAGCTGGTTAGGCCCTGGATTGGCTTGTGGTCAACGGGCATTGAGCCGGGCCCGTGGTTTGGCCTGGCCGGTTTTGGTCCTCATATATGCACTTTTTGAATAGTCGGCCCGGTTCTGAAGCGGAATTGGCGGTTTGACCTTTTTTTGTTTTTTGTTTTTTTTTTTTAATTTTTGATATTTTTTTTTTTATTTTAATTTTCTAATGAATCGGGTTGGTCTAGAATCGACAGTTCATTGAACTGGACCGTGCATATGTTTGGGCCGGTTTAGGCCGGCCGACCCTTGCTCGGAATTTGATTTGGCCATGTAGTCGTAGGTTGGTTGAGTAGTTCATACATTATCTAGTTGGTATATTGCATTGGTCCTTGAAAGACGTTATACTAATCAATTTTGTCACATTATAAAAATTGATACTTAACGAACTCAACGTTAGGTGACAAAAGTTGGTTCGAGTTTTGTTGTGTTCGATATAAAAGTTTGTTTGTTAATCAACCCTAGTTCGAAAAAAATTAAGCTTGTTTAATATTCGAACGAAAGAGCTCGTTTGTGAACATTTTTAATATAATTTTATTTTATTTTTTATATATTTATATGATATTTTTAATAAAAAATCTTACGTATATATATATATATTATTTTTTTTAGTTCTATCAAACGAATATTGATTTGATGAAACATATTTAAAAAATTTGTGTATTAAATTATTCAAATAAGAACACTTTTGAACTTCTACAAACAATTAAATGAAAGGGTTAGGATACGATTATTTGCTCAAAAAATTAAAGAACAAACATGAACAGTTTTTGAATGTAAATGAACACAAAACGGTCAAGCTCGTCATGTTCAATTCGATTACATAATAACAGAGTATAAACCAATGTGGAGTGATTATTTGGTCAATGTGAAGTTGATTATTTTTCCGTATATAAAAAGTTGGTTGCAATGGAGCCAAATGTCAGACAAAAATTGAGATATAATAACATGAAAATGTGATAAGTTGACTATGGAAATTATTTCATACAAATAGAATTGCTTATCTACAGTGCCCACTAAAATGTACCCATTAGTATTGAAATCTTCCAATGAGCATAAATTAAGAGAAAATGCTTTGGTCCCGTTACGGAACCATTCCGTCGAGATTTATAACCGTTAGATCAACTATTTCTGACGGTTACATAATGATCTAACGATTACAAATCACGACGGAATAATTTCATAACGGGACCATATTATCTCCTTTAATTAAGACCGTGGACACGTTTAAACGTGTCTGCTAGCCATGTATTAAGATATTTCGATTGACATATTAAAATGTTTCTGGCCAACCACATATTAAAATCTTTAGAGGAGCATAAATTAACATCGCGCGGACTCGTTTAAATGTATCCACCAGCCACATAACAAAGATCTTTCGGTTAACATAAATTAGGCTAATCAAAAGAGCCACAGAAAATGAATCATATAATTAAATTCCAATAATTACAATGTCAAAAATTCAAAATTTACCATAATCACGGCCTATACAGCTACTTCATCATATCGAAAAAAAAAAAAACAGAGTGGCCGCTAGCTTTAGTTCGATCGAAATAACTGACATTTTTTTACAGCACCTTACGAAACAGCACAGCTACTGAACGAAACGACTTCATAGTTGGGTCAGGAAAAAATTATACGAAGTCTCACAATATCCAACGGCAAAAAACCGATGCCAGCTAAGCGAAAAGAGAGGATGCTGACGAGGATATGTCTGAACATACTATGATGTCACAACAATGGTCTTTCCCAGCACGAACGTGACCAGAGATAGTTCGATGAAGAATATCGTGTTGATCAAGGCTCGGTCAACTGTCCACCCGAAAATCGTGATTCCTCCTGGATTTGCCTGCAAATACATCACTGAATACAGAAGGATTATTACAATGCTTGTGTGTATTAGTTAATCAATCCAAAAAACTTGCAAATATGTTGAGTTCTTCGTGGCCCTTTTGTAACAAATCCAACCTAGAGCGAGTCTCTTGTGGTAAAAAGACATGTATGATGCCAGCTGCACATTCGTAGGACCCATCATCAAATCCAACGACTCCAGATCACTCTCTGAGTAGTCCACATGAAATCCACTCAGCCTGTTAACAGCTTCTAAGTTCCCGATGCTATTCGAAGTTCGTAACTGAGATGCATCATTGGCGGTACAAGTCATTAAAGCATGCCATCTGCTTGCTAATGCCCCAATGCCTTGGGCTCTGTGTGATATTTTTGCAGCTGCATTCAGGCAAAGGATTATAGCCACCACTTGAACGATTGTGGACACCTATGGATAGAATGAAATATGATAAAATATTAATCAAATGGGATGATAGTAGAAAATTTAAGTGGGTCATTTATTTTTTCAAAATACTTAATCGTTTAAAGGATGAATATTGCGAATATAAGTTGAGATAAACTGTAAAGACTACATCTTGAGGTTTGGCCTAATTTATTTGGGAAACCCAATTGGCAACCGAAATTGAAAATTTGTTCAGGTTATTGGGATAATGCACTTTCTTGATAAATATTTCCTTAAATGAGATTGCAGATTGCAAACCAAAAACTAATTTCAAGGGATAATGCAATTCTGAAAGGTATAAGGAGAATTTACATAAACTTGGCTGAACCTTAGAAGGCACTTACTGTAATTAGCCCAATAAGACAGTTGAAAGATTACAGAGTAATGTTTAACACAACATTTTCGACACGCGAAAGCTACATGTCAGCCACAAAATGGTTCAATTTCAATTGAACTAGAGAAAAAGAGAAAGAAAAAAAGAAAATCTTTGTACTTTATAGCACCAATTTTGAAACTTACAGCAAAATCACCGCCATTGCTGATAGTGACCATTCCATTGTACTCTGTGGTCTGTGATAAAGTCATGAACTGGCTTATGGTCACAATCACAAACTGTAGAAGAAGATATATTCTAAACCTGTGGCTTATTTTCGAGAGGTAAAAACGCAGGCGAGCATGCTCTTGTAATAAGGCTACCACATCTGGTTCTCTTTCCAGAAGCTTCCCATAGTCGTCAAAATGGATAATTTGCAAATTGCACACCACATAGAACAAGATGCACGATGACAAAATTATTGTTGTCACATATGTCCAAGAAAGCACGAAAGCCAATGATATAATGGCGGATTGCCACCATGTCCCGTGATGAACATACGAAAACCGTACGATTTCACGTACAATTTTCAAAAGACAACAAGCTAGCACCCATAGTACTAATGTGCGCATAGATTCCTGCGTAAATAAAGTGTTACGTCGCAAATAAATGAATATATTGATGCATGTATTATCAAAATATGTTTAAAAAAGAGCACAAACATGTTTCTGATGAAAATTTTGAAAATTTTTAAAACTTGAGCACAAAGTTCTGAAAATTTCAGAGTTCAAGTTCAAGTTTGAGCACAAATATTGATATCAAATATGTGTTCTTTTATCAAAAAAGAGCACAAAATAAAGTGTTACATCGCAAATAAAGTAACAAAGAGGGCCTGAAATACTGTTATATTTGTGTAATGCTATTTATAATGGATAGTTGGGGCATTACTCATTATTAGAGAATACCCTTTATCTGACATCCCTGTGCCTCATTACCTCATAATATAATGTTATCCAGACTATCATAACTCAAATATCAACTCAAACTTCACCAGAACAGCAAACTAGCAAGAAAGGTCTTAAAGTGCTTTCAACTTACGTCACGAGATTTCAACAACGACAACGCGTTCATTCATTTGAATCAACTAACCAAGTAAAAGCAGCAGAGGCATATATAGTCACCAAATTCAATCTAAAATCAAGTTATAATTCGACTGACCATGAAGAAGCCGAGATAAATCAAATGTGATAATGAGAACTAAGAAGTCAATTGGAGCATTACTCACATATATTTTCTGCACATATTGCCCACTGAACCTCTCCACATGTCCACTGTACCGATCGACAAACAGAAATTTTCGAACTCCATATTTCCTCAAATTATGCGAAAGGCATATCAAAGATGAAGCAGCCAAACAAGCCTGAGAAATCACTATACCAATCTCAAAACTCTTGATTTGGCCCTTTTCACACCCTGGACAGTCGGAGAACTCGAGCACCACCACCGGAAGTAAAACTCCGACCACCAAAAAAACCCCCCAAGATATCACGAAGCTCCATATTGAAGACTGGTTAAATCCCAAAAATGATAGGAAAAAATGCAAGCTTTGGAGGGTTTTATCCAAGTGGGTCTCTTTATCGTCGTCTTCTTGCTCATCTGGGCCGTTTGGTTCATGGGTTGCGCCTGGACTTTTAATCAGAGGCGTGGTTTCATGTGGGGTTCTAGATTCTTCCACTTCTATTTGAATATGAACCTCGGCCATAGATAAGAAAGGGGCAAAATCCAAACTTTGAGATAAACCCAATAGCTAGAAAGGGAAAAACAAGACTCAAGCTTTTCACTTTATAAACCAAGGAGACTCAAACAATGATTTTTGGATCTGATTCATGAAGACATATTCAAGGAGACTCCTGCAAAACGTGCTCTCAACCGTACTTGCAGCTATTATTATATTATAATGCAAGCAAATAAGGCAGCTTTCCAATAACATAAGGTAATTAATGGTTTGTGTGACGTAGATAAAGGGTAGCTTTCTATGGGCGTGGTACGAGTTTAAACTTTCAAGAGTATCACGCAAGAACAGATGAGAGAGAAAAGAAAAAAGGAAAATGAAAATGGACTGCTCAACTGCAAATGATATATGCTCCTTTAGGTGGAGTCCAAGTGTTGCTTATTTAGTATTTACACTCTTGTTTTTGCTCTGCACCTCTTAGTGCAGTCCTCTCTCAATGTCATGAGATTTGTGTGAACGTGAAAAGTATGATGATAGAGTCAATAATCGAGCTTGAGCTCGGTTACTTTACCAATATTAACGAGTCGAACTCGATCCTATTTTGAGCTTTAGATACATAATCGAACATGAATAGAACATTTAAATGTATGGACAAATCATTTGAATGAAACTTTTTTTTACATTTGGCGTTTGATTGTGCTTTTTGGAACATTTTTATGTGTGCCTCATATTATAGATAGGTCCACCATAATGTTATTCACACTCAGATTGAGTTCGCCTTTTAGAACTTCTGATTCATAAGTCATAACATATACTTATTCAGATTTCGAGATTGAGTTTGTCCTCCGAATTCAGTCACATGAAGGTTGTAATTTGTAACGTTACGTAGAAAAATGCCAGGCAACATTTCAAATTAATCACAAAAAGATCTTGCAGTATTCAAATGCCATTACATATACCATACGAAGAAAGAACAGAACTTCAAGAATCAGTTTGAAAGGTGTCTAAAATAACCTAAAGACCCGATTTTTTATCAGCAAAATCAGAAACTCTTTCCCCAATAGGTCCATTTCGTAGCAGGCTTTCCAGAAGCAAAGCACAACGTACCTGAATTCGAAAAATATGTGAAAAATGAATGTATAAACGTATATCAATTACCACTAAGTATGAGTCATATGTAATGCATTTTAGCTAAAGCTTTTTGTGTTGCCTTCTGATGGAAGTATATTATGACAGACATTAAATTATTTTGAATGATTTAGAGAAATCTAAAAATTCGGTGATTTTTCTTTGTGTGCTAAGTGTTTCAAGGTTTCAACTTTAAACAAAACAAATATATATTCGAGCATCATTAACCAACTCCTTGACAATTTTGATTGATTTCAATCTGAACAAAAAAATGAAAGAAATTCCATTCTAACAAATATGGAAAAAATAAGAGGAGCAACTAATACTAATGATTTAAAACTAGAGTTCTTCTATTCTATTTTTGTTTTTAAGGAAAAATAAAATTCAAATTATTTGAAATACTCTTTTAAAGATTACTTATTGACGAGCGATAGCAAAAGCGTACCCTCTGGAATTGGAGGCTGATCGAGTGGAGAACACAAAGACTTTGCATCATTGTTTGTGCGGTTTGTCACGTCCTTTTCCACCGCCTGAGATATATCATCATCACAAAATTTTCAAATGTCATCACTAGAAATTTCAAACAACATGAACAAATTGCAGAAAATTGTCGAAGTACTATAAAATTATGGACTTGGGAAAATTAGAGAAAAAAAAAAAATGACCATAATTACCTCATCATCACACCAAGGAGCGAAAATCAGCTTTTTCTGGTTAAGTGCTTCATCAAATTCTTCCCAGCTATGAACAACTCGAATGCATGAATCCCGCTTTTGTTTGGCAACTTCAAAGAGATTTTGTTGGATATGATCGAGCAAGTTTCTAACTTGCTCGACCAAATTTGCCATAGGAATATCAATTTCTTCAAAATTATCACGTCTAACTGCACGAACCTGGACAAGTAGAGAATTTTATAAAAGCAACATTGGTAGGGAGGAAAAAAATGGTACTCTGTCTTGTTATGTTTGTACCTTCTTATTTGCCAAGTCTTCGAGTCCTATTCCTATCCTGAGAGGCACCCCTTTCATCTCCCAATGAGAGTTTTTCCACTCGTACGAATAATTATCTCTAAGATCAAAATCAGCACGAATACCGGCCTCAGTCAGATTTTTTACGATTGCTTCACATTCGTCAAAGATAGCCTGGAAATTCGTACTGAAAGAGGACACATTAGGGATAACAATTGCTTGAAGGGAAGCCACTTTAGGAGGGAGGACCAAGCCTTTATCATCACCATGAACCATTACCATCAGCCCTAACTGCCACAAAATTCTTTTTTTTTTTTTTTAGTTTCTAAGTTCTCGATGAGATTAATTAAAAAAAAGTCGTTAATATTCAACACACCTAAAAGGATAAACGTAAAAAAAAAAATAAAAAAATAAGAGAGTTGGAAAAATGAGAAGTCCGTTTAACTGTTCTGGTGGTGTAAGCCCAAGAATTCTGCCAGACATTGACACTTTCGCCCTTCTCATTCTCGAAATTTATTTCAAATGTTCTTGCAAAATGTTGGCCCAAACAGTTTGAGGTTGCACCTTGCAATCCATGTCCAGAGTTGGGGATAAAAGCCTGTTGTCATTAAGTAAAGGTAATCGTTTCGAAATATAGTAAAAACGTCTGCTTAATGGTTTTCATGATAAAATTATTATGTTGAGAGTGAAAAGTATCAAATTATCAAATTATTTCCACCTCAACAGTATTTGTATAGAGTGAACCAGCAAACTTGTGATTTTCGGTTTTCTTGCCCTTAATAACAGGAACAGCCAAGAACTCTTCGTATATGCGTCTATATAGTTCTAAGATGTCAAGCACCTGAAAGAATAAGAAGCACAAGATAGCATATAATATAAATCAACGAAAATTATGCCTCTTTATAGTAAGAACTTCAAAACATGTCAATTAAGATATAAAAAAATACTAAGGGAATAAATTTAACAAAATTTTAAAATTTTTCACCTCATGAACCGTTAGTGGCATCATACAAACAGGGGAGATAACTTAATTTGTAGGAACTCAAATCAGCTAAGAAACACAATATTCAAATTGGAACATAATTTTCATAAAATCTAAAGCAATTTCAGGCTGCCCAACATGTCTCGGCTAAAATCATTATGATATTGCATTTTCATAAGCTAGCAAGAACGTTACCTCGTTATCCGCTTCTTCTTTGGTTGCAAAAGCTGTATGTCCTTCCTGCCACAGAAACTCACAACTCCTAAAGAATAGTATAATTATCACACGGTAATTTGAAGGGAAAAAAATTCTCTCTCATATATGATATATCAAGACCAGAGTAGGGCGAACACATTTGCCAACATAAAACACAAGAACATTATAAAAAATAATAAGATTCTGCATTTCCATAACCTGCTAATCCAAAGCAGGTTACCCCAGAATGTGATAATAGCAAATGTGCCGAAAACTAAACACAACAATTCCACTTTGAAAGTACCTGATAAACGGGGTTGGTTTTCTGGATTCCCATCTGACAACATTACACCACTGATTAAACTGCAAAGGTAAGTCACGGTGGCCCCTAATCCACTTGGAAAAATATGGATACATGACACTTTCACTGGTCGGACGAATCGCAATGGGCAGCTTTAGTTCAGATTCGCCAGACCTTGTAACCCATGCAACCTAAAAAGTGATTGAATAATAGTAGTAGTTAATTTATTAACGTCACTCTTGAGAAACACACACAAAAAGATCTGAGAGAAGTATGTCAATAATAAAGACAAAGTAGACAAGATATAAACTCATACGACTAAGTTAACTAAGTTGATTGGTGATTACTGCACGTGTTTGGAAAATATGTACAAAGAAAAGTACCCTCACCTCAGGAGCAAATCCCTTTATATGATCTTTCTCCTTATGTAGAAAATCAGCAGACACGAGGAGAGGAAAGTAGCAGTTCTTAATTTTCATTTTCTTGATTTCGGCATAAAAAAACTCCTACAATAAACCACGGCCCATAACTCTAGCATTTCCTTCATCAAAGTTCTTCTATGCAATTGTTAAGCAATGACCAGATAACTATAATGCATCAAAAGGGCAGCAAAAGGCAGAGCAAGAATAAAACACACTAAAACTTTTCCGAAGGTGCAGTTTAAGATAACTACAACCGGAGTGCGAGATACCATTAGACATCTCCTTAGGAGACACAGAAGTTCACACTGAGTCATAACAGTTGGCATTTTTTCTTTTTTTTCAAGAAGTATTTTTACAGCCATTAACTACTTCATCCCGCCCTTCAGAAAAAAGAGCTTCTGGCCCATAAAGCCTACTCAATCAATAAGCCAAAATACAACGTTTTCTCCACTTCAATTTACAAAATTTACATATAACTTACTTTCATGATCTCCCAAATCGAGATTGCCCACGGTCTCATTACATAGCAGCCAGGTATGTCATAATACTCAATCATCTCTCCATTAACAACAACCTGCACACAACTCAAAGCAATAAAATTGAAGATTCACCGTATAAGTATAACTTTGGCTTGGATCCAAGAACTGATAACGAGGTCAATTAACAAACATATCATATATCGATTAAAAAATATATATATATATATTTTTTCAGTCATCAAGACATGTATAAAACAGGCGACAACGAAAGCACAGAAGAAAACTAAAAGCACCCATGATTATACCTCGGAGTACCATTCCTCAAAATTCTCATCTTTCCTGGAAGATAGACTGATAATGGGCTCATTCAAAGTTTCCTCCTTTTTGCCTTCTGATCGAGTACCCATTAACTCGCACTACAAAATCCTTAAAAAAAAGTCCCTAAATTCACGAGAAAATCAATCAATATACTTATAAAAACAAACAGAAAAAGCCCATAAGAGAAAGTGAGTTGCATGGACAAACCAACCTTAGCCTTCGGCTTTGAATCCTTAGAAGAGAGGAGAGCTTTCGAGCAAGAGAAAGTTGCGTGCTTTATCAACGGCGAGGCAAAACTGCGAACTTTGGAGGTTTCCTTTCGTATTTATAATTGTACGCGTAAAAAGAAAAGGCAAAAAGTAAGAAAAAGGGAAGAGAGAACTGAAGGCGAGGTGACGGGGCCTAGCGACAGATTTGAAGTTTGGAGTTTTTTTTTTTGTAGGCGACGGGGCCCACCGAGAGATTTGAAGTTCGGTGGTTTTTTGTGATTTGTGTGAAATTTTGGGTTCAAAATTTCACGTAGTATGTCACATCAGGAGTTACGAATTATTCCTATGCACGAAAAATAACCTCACCGATTACATGATGATCTAACGGTTACAAACTCCGATTTCCGTAACGCAACTTCCCACTTCTTCTTATTAAAAAAGAAAAAAACGCAAAGTATTTCAATTTTTAAGCGATGTTTGGACTTTGTTTTGGAGTTTGAATCAAATTAATAGTTTGAGATTAAATTAGAGGGTTTTTTTTTTTCTTCTTTTGTTTTTCATTTTACCCCACTAGAATAAATTAGAGAATTGACTCGTCTACTTTTATTGTATATTTTTAATAATAAATTTTTAATTTAAAATGTTAATTTTTGAAAAATTAACAAAACAAAAAATTATCTTTTTAAATCCAAAATTTAATGGGTCGTTCGGATGTTAGCGATTAATGTAACAGATTGAACCTATTTTAGAAGTGTGATCGGTCTAATTCGTTAACTAACTTATTTAGGAAAGTGCTTAATTTGGTCCGAAACACTAATTCTAGACATAATGTTTTCAACAACACAACGTTTTCAAAATAATTCAAAAATCTTATTGATAGTACAGTAATAGCATCTGAAAAACAAATTTATCCTTGCTACATCTATTTAACTAAAAAAAAAAGAGTCCATTAATAGTCTTTAAGAGTAAAGAGTTCTTTTTACACTCAGGCTATTTTCCATGTTTTGCACAAAGACAATTATTTTTCATTTCCCTAGCCTCATACAGTTATTTTATCTTTAGCAGTACTATCAAGACAATCATTTTTTATTTTCCCAGTTCATAAATTTCGTTATCTGCCGCTTTTGCGTGCAAGAAACCTTTCACGGGCCGCAAGAATTCTACTCTCTCGATCATCAACAGACGGTTGAGTAGCTTCAACATCATCCTTTTGTACCTTCAAATCTCCCGTTCGATTGTTTTCGCTCATCGATTGATTGGTGGCCCCACTGTTTTTTTTCCACCCCCAAAAAAATAAGAAAAAGTAGAGGCTCAAGCAAAAGCAATGACGATTTTGAGACGCAGCAAAAGTGTGGAGATTTTTTTTCTCAGTCATACCTTAACTTAGGAATGTTAAGTTTGTCGAGCTTGGCTAAAACGGGCTGCACCCAACGCATCTCGACGGCACACACATTGCGCATGTAGGGTCGAGTAGTGGCAATGAGTTCGTGATAGACAACGTAATTCGGGAGCATGCCATCCTCGTCTGGTTTTAGCACGGACGATGGATGCACCTATAACAATAAAAGATTTTGATAGTGATTTAATTTTAATCAGCATAAATAAAACCAAAAAGAAAAAAAAAAAAAAATTAGATACCGTTAATCGATCTGTCTAAGAGATTTTTATTAATAGGTAAAATAAAACTATTGATGTCACAGGACATATTTAATACCTTCGGGGCATGTATGATGCGAGAAGAAAATGGAATTTGTGGTATGTAAGTGACAGTTCAAGGATTAGCATTAATTTTTCCAAAAAAAATAAAAATCTGTATTTTATTTTGGTTGAGTGGTTATTTTGAAACACAAAATCAAGAACGAGCAAAATTTTTAACTTAAAATATAAATCTTTCTACTAAATTATCTACCTGAACTAACTGCGACTTAAAACCGGCGGTCCGGTAACCATTATGACGAATCATTCTCTCTGCAAGTTGATTTGCATACCCCGAACACAAGGCTTTTCTCAAAGCTCTGTATTCTTGGCCTTCTTTCTGCCTTTTACTTGTTTTCACGTCCATGGATACTATAGCAATGGAAAGGGAAAAACAAAAAAAGAGAGAGAGAAAAATTAAATATGATATCAAATCTAGAAACCAGTTAGTATATTACAATCAGTTACTACGTTTTTATCAGAAAACTAATACACGACCCAAAATTTTAGTAGTAAGGTGCCGAGACAAGACAGCACGTGCTTTAAGAGCAAATCATGTATGGTGCATGTAACACTGACCTTTGGCAATTTTCTGCATTATTTGGCATAACTGTTTTCTGACATCTTTGACAAACATCATTCCCCTTACCTATTGATCAGCAAGTTCAAAAATCAGTGGTCCCGTAAGAGTTTAATATATCAGAACGCACAAACTTCAAGACTTATATTACAGGTATGCAATGTGAAAATAAATAAATAAATAAAGCTAAATAAATAAGGGTACCTGCAAGTTGTTTTCTTTGCACCAGTCTACATTGTAGCCAGTTTGATGCCAAAGCTCAAAAATCTGTAGCAACTGAATGTGGTCACCCAATCCAGAACCATCCGGAAGGTTTGATGGAGGAGTGTGCTTCCTCTTCTTATCATGAGTGCTCTTACTGCAAAAACCAATTGAACACCTATAAGAACATGCATATAAGAAACATCAATATGACGAGTTAGAAACTTACCTATGACCTAAAAGCAGATTAGTTTCAGCAGATAACATGGCAGCAACCGTTAAAGCTTGAGACAAACAGCCACATTCGTTTGCCTCTAACAAGGTCCTCGACAGTGAAGGTTCCAGTGGAAGTTCTGCCCAATAAATGTGAAACTCAGCCAATAAATTGTGAAAAATATTATATGATAAGTTGTGATGACCACAAGCGCCAGCCATAAAGGATTATCACTAGGTTTCTTTAAGATTGTGATTCTTTCTTTCTTTAGCTTATTCAGGAAAATGCTTGTGAGAATACACTACCAGCCATGGTTCGTCCAAGTCTTGTGATAGAACCATCCTCCTCTATGGCATCAATGAGATATAACTGCTTTAATGCATCTTCCAAAGCCTCAGCTGTAGCAAAAGACAATACACAAGGCCTCACCATTTACATGTTTTAACTTTTTACAGAAAAATAAAACCTAAGCAAAAACACGTAAACATTAAATGGAAGCAATGTGCCGTAGGCAAATGAAGTTGAGGTAAAAAGAACAATTAAAGAAATTTGAATTTTCTTACAGGAAGGAGGGTCGAGGAAGTCAAATTTGAGAATGTCTATGTCGGGTAGATCTAAGGATTTTAAATAGAGGACACTTCCTGCTAGGGAAGATCTCTGTATTTCAGGTACAGTGGCATCCAAAAAATCATCTTTGTAAACCACAGAAGGGTACAGACGGTAGCACTTTCCAGGTCGTGTTCTTCCAGCTCTTCCTGCACGCTGATTAGCCTGCACTCTGGGACCCACTTGTTGTCAGATATAGATAAAAATAATGAGACACGTAGTAGTTTGCTATAATGAAGGGAAAAAAAAAAAAGGAATATCATACTTGCTAATTTGGACAACATCGAGAGAATACATTCCAGTTGAAGGGTTGTATTGTCGTTGCTTCACAAATCCAGAATCAATTACATACCTGCAGCCATAACAGAATGATTTCAAGAATTACGCCCAGAAAGATTCTTAATTTGAAATCACATTGATAGAAACTTATGTTTGGCTTATGAAGTTATATAATAAAGAAATAAAGGAGCATCACATATCTTACACTACACCATCGACAGTCAACGATGTCTCAGCTATGTTTGTAGAAACAATAAATCGACGACAATTGGGAGGTGGAGGGCTGAACACACGGACCTGCATATGTTCTAGTATAAGTATACAATAGTGACCGAGAATAAGGAAGACAAATGAAAAATCAATATACAACTGATGCTTACTAGAGAAAACTGAAACGAAAACGTCAGGACTACGAAACAAGAGCAAAAAGCTACTGGGGAGTAACAAAAAGCAAGGCAAAAAACAAACATATGTTGAAATACTAACTAGTGCCAGTTCCAAGATGATTAGATTAAATCAACAAAATGTAGCAACCAATTAAAATATGACTAACCTGCAATTCAGGAGGCAAAGATCCATGAAGTGGAAGAATGATGGCATCCATACAAGATCCTTCTTCCAGGGTTTGGATTCTCTCTTCCAATTTCGACACCAACTTTTCTATATCATCCTATAGTGTAATTTTATCAATAACTATATACAAATTTGCATATGGGCTGATAAATAGATATATAACTGTAAAGCTTCATGAGTGGAACAACATGACATAACAGAAGACAAGAAAACAATTCATACCTGTCCTGTCATGAAAATTAGGACATCACCTTCAGGTTCCCTAACGTGTATGTCTGCAGAAGATTCATGGATCATCAAACACAAGAGTCCACACTAAACGAAATGTAGCAAAAGACATGGGAGTTGCTGAATTGAGAAGGCCAGAATACATGACACATATGATACAAAATGAAAGTTGCCTCATACCAATAGCTGTTTTCAAAGAAGCTTCAATATAACTTTTGGGCCTTTCTGAGCTGTGTTGTATCTCAACAGGGAACAACTTTCCTGGGACATTAAGGATTGGGCAGTTGGAGAAAAATCTGGATACTTTTTCACCATCAAGAGTAGCAGACGTTATCAAAATTTTCAAATTTGAAGCTCGGAACTTGATCAATCGTTTCATCAATCCAAGCAATATATCCCTGACAATATATAATTCCACACATTCAACAGATATACTTTACCAAAGAACATGGGGAAGATTGCACGGGCAAAATGATAAGGGGAAACGACACTTCAGCCCCCTACATTGAAGACCACACACACACACACACACAAGGTGAATTTTGAGCACTTTGACACTGAACTTATAATATGTATGTCAATCACAATGACGAACGATTTTACACTCCTTCGCTTGGTGTAGCCCAATATAATAATCACTAAAAGTGAAGCAAATATAATAATGCAACTTACGTGTTTAAGCTCCTCTCATGAGCTTCATCCAGTATAATGACCGAGTAGTGATTCAGCTCCGGATTGGAAAGACTCTCACGAAGCAGCACACCATCCGTGAGATACCTACGCATCCAATAGCGACAGGTTAATGCAGGCAATGCAGTTCAACACAAATTATCAGTACCCAGATAATAAATTTCAATACTTTTGAAAAAGTCAAGTTACTTAATAAGCGTCTTCTCTGAAGTCCTGTCTTCAAACCGTATGGCATAACCCACTTCCTCCCCAAGCTTAACATCAAGCTCTTGCGCAACCCGCCTGGTTATTTCCACGGGAGTGAAAACAGATAAGGATACATGAAATAAAAACAACACACGCAAACACATTAACGTACAGCTGCCAAAAGCTCTGCTCCTTTGCGAAAAAAGTTCAAAAATAACATAATCCCGTCAACTAAAGTTCAAAATTGAACTGAAGAAAGTAAAATCACCATACATGTTCCTAGCTATTTTTCTTGTGTTAGCTGATTAAGCTTCAGCAAACAATCTATAGATACAAATGCAGCAATAAATGACGTATAGTAACATATTGAGCTAGCGAGCAGCGCTTACCGGGATACTGAAACCGCGGCGACCCGACGCGGCTGGGTAACGGCAATGCAACCGGATTTTGTGTAACCTCTTCTGTGAAGTATTTGCGAAAGCTGCGTGCTTTTTCCAGAGCCAGTTTCTCCAATTACGACAACGATGGAGTTTTTCTCCACTGTCTCAGCAATTTTCTCCTCAAATTGGAGTATAGGCAACTGCGCCATGTCAAGATAATCGCCCAAGCTTCCGGCTGGTCGACCAATGCGAATTGGAGTGATTTACTTTTACTATTGCTAGGGCTTAGGGGAATTTGGGGAAAATTTTGAAAACCCATACCCATACAAAGGAAAAGTCTTTAATTAAATAATTTTATTTTCGAGCTCCAACGATTTCGAACTGAGTCATAAAACGAACGATCTCGAACATTAATTTTTATTACAATTAATAAATGAACGACCACAACATAGTACGAACACAAAACACGAACATTAGAGAAATGTTACATCATGTTACATTTTAGAAATGTTACAGTCCTGTTATATAACTATTTCGACGAAATTTGTAACCGTTAGATCATCATGTAAACGTCGTGAATAGTTGATCTAACGGTTACAAATCCCGACAAGAATGATTCCGTAAGAGAATCTCTCTTTACTTTATATGTGCATTTCCTATTTTTATTTTTTAGTCATATAATCATTTTGTATTTCATTCCAAGAATATGCAAAACTCAAAAACACGATACTCTTAAAACATGTCGAAAGGTTTCCCAATCTTCTATTACCAAACATTCCAAAATTCCCCCAAACACACACACACACACATAAACAACATCATGTTTGAAACTAAACCCAAATTCAAACATCCTTTTGCAACACCAAAACCAAACCAAGATGCCATTTTAATTTTTTTGTTTTTTCTCACAACCAAAAACACAAAAAAAAAAGCACAAGATCATGTCACGTATCTATCACATCTCCTTCCTTCCGAAGATCGCCTCACGGGTCACCAGCCTTATCCCCCTCACCCACAACTCCGCCATCCGCGCCCCTCCCTCCTCGCACGCGAAATGTATCTCCCTTCCCTCGGTCGTAACCACCCGGAAAACTCCCGGGCCGCCGCTCGCGTCCCGTTTCATCCTCCTATTCCACCGGAATCCCGAGCTTGGGCCCACCTCTGCCCACCGGCACACCACCTTCCTCTTCCCCGACCTCCCCCAAGCCAACACGCCCGAGCCCCCCACCATCCTCAACACCTTCCCGTGCGGCCGGCCTTTCCCTTCCCTCGTGTGTTTTCTCACGCGGGCCCCACGAAGAACCAACTCCCGAGCCACCTCGTCGAGTAGCGCTTCCTCCGCCTTTCCCTTCCTGCCGGCTAGCGAGAGCGCCGTCTCGTTTCTCGAGTTGCGGACGTCGAGCCGCGCGCCCGACGAGATCAGAAGCTCGCACATTTCCCGATCGTCGGATATTGCCGCAAGCATGAGCGGCGTGTAGCCGTCGCGGTCGAAACTGTTGACGTCGTAGCCTTTACCTACCATAATAAGAATTATATCAGACTTTATGCCAACCATTATGTTTCTGTAGCATGATTAATCTCCCATAACGATGCTACTTTCACACAATTTTTTGACATAATCTTTGACATAACTGACGTGTAATGATAGTTTTGCTAATTTTAAAGATGAAGTGATCTATAAAACAAGGTGGAATCTTGTCTGTCTGTTAATGTAAAATTTTATGTCAACCCATTATGTTACTATAGCAATGGTACTTACCTATCAATTCTCTTACTAAAAAGAGGTCCCCCGCTCGGGCCGCACGGTGCAAGGCCGGCGATTTGTTCGAATTTCCATTGCTTCTGATCTTCACATACGCATATGCAGACGAAATTTTCGTAAATTCATCCTCGTCGAGTCTTTTCTTGGCTAGAGTTAAACCCGTCTCGCCGTTCTTACTCGCGACGTCCAAATCCGCCCCTGCATTGATGAGCACCTTGAAGGCCTCCACATGTCCGTTCATTGCAGCTACCATGACAGCCGTATACCCATTCCCATCCTTCTCGTCGATGTCCAAATCGGGCTGCCCAACGAGCTGTTTCAAGGCCTCAACATCGTTCGCTCGAACGGCAAATATTAACGAAGAAAACACTTCAAGATTGCTCGATCGCACGATTTTCCCAGTTCGGATCACGTCAAGCACCGCCCGTTGGAATCCCGCCGTCCATTTAACCGAGCCGGCAATGGACGACACATCCTCACCGAGAGTGTTGACCAGGCCAAAATCGGACCCGGCCGAGGCCAGAATTTTAAGACACTCCGCTTTTTTCTGCCGGGTGCAGATCATGAGTGCGGTTTCCTCGAATCGTGTTTTCGAGTTCGGATTACAACCGAAGTTGATCAAAAGGCGGAGGATCGTGGATGAACCAAGTCGGGCTGCCAGGTGGACGGGCCGGATGTTCGACACCTGAGCTGTCTCGATCGGGGACTCCACATCAGCTCCGAAAGTTAAGAGCACGTCGAGTGCTCTCGGATTCTGGCAGAGGATGGCGTGGTGGATTAGTGTTCGTCCGAGATGGGGAACGTTGAGAGAGATACGGTGAAGGAGCGCGCGGAGGATCGCACCACTGGATTCGAAATACTCCACGGCACACCAAGTGACAGTGTAGGGTTCGGCTAAGCCTGCACCAACTCGAAACTCCTCGCCCGTGGTGACATCCCACGACCAGGCTCCGAGTTTGACCTTGATGTCCGTTCGGCAACCGGCCTTTTTTATGCCAAAAAATAAAAAATAAAAAATATTTCAATGATTAAGAAAACATCTTAATCAATACAAGATGAGTTTAATTAATTAATTATTAATGATTACCTTTAAAAGTAGCTGGACAATCGAGACCTGTCGGTTGACGATGGCTGCAACAAGCGCGTTGCAATCGACATTCGTGTATAGAGACGGTTTGGAGGATTGGAGCAGAATTCGAGCATTCGAATTCAGATTAACTCCATTCTGTATCGATTTTTTTTTAAATGAAAAAAAAAAACACTTAGAGTGAGATTGATACGTGAAAAGAGAGCATAGATTATATCAGTAGAAGGTATCGAAAAAGGTTACAGATTGGTATATCAAATCTAATCTGATTTTTCAAAAATTCTTGGTATCAATAAGGCAAATTTGTGTACTTCCTTTCGAAGGATAAGCTCGAAATCAAACCGGAATTCACATCCGTCGCAATAAAAAAGCACCATAATAAACAAAACGAAAAAACCGAGTTGGCATAAATGTAGACCTCAACGAGTGTGGCGACAAAATCGACGAAACCTCGTCCGGAAGCAGTGACGAGAGCATGCACCGCGACATGAGGACTGATCAAGTCGGAGCCCATTAGCAGCTCGACTGGGCCGGCCAGGCCCAAGCAAGATGCCTCCAAGAGAGCCTCTTCGCATGAGGCCTGAGAGGCCCCGTTTTTTAGCAGCAACTCGAGCACGTGAACGTGTCCCTCCCGTACGGCAGCAGTGGTCGCGTAGCCTCGGAATAGTTTTTGGTTCACATTAGCCCCTGCTTTCTGTGCTCCAAAAGAACAACAAAAAAGGTTACTCCATTCTAGTTGTTTTGGTTCTTGTGTGTTGCTTTCTTGTGAAACTGTGATGAACACAATAGGGCCCTTGTGGTCATTGCATATCTTTTGCATAAAACGATTCAAAAGTGATTGCTAACGCTCCCTAGATACTATTTAGTGGTTTTAAATAAAGGAATTATTACTTCTAAACCAGTTTTATACTGTGCATTAAGGTTAAATAAATGATCAATTTGAACATTCAAATTTTTAAAACCATTGTGCAGCATTAATTATAATTGTCCTTAAACAGATACATTCATGAGGCAAACAACAAAGAAAATAAATAGAAAAACATAATTTCTTGTATGAGATTTTGATTATTTATCGAGGAGTCGACTCGTCATACTTTTTCTTTTAACAAAAATGTATAATTATGCTATAAAATGTAATATTATTATTTATACTATTTTCAATATATGACACTTCAATTTGAAAATATTATATACATCCAAAAAGTATGGCAGTACTGAGGAAAATTGTTAATCTAACAAAATTATAGAAAAAAATAAAAGAGAAAATTTGTGTTTTTGCTCAATTCTAATATGGTCGATAATTAATTAGGCGCATATATGTTTCTTATGAAAATAACACTTAAAAAAAAACTTAAAAATTATCAAAAAAATTCATTACAATTTACAACCCTCTAATTTTGCTTGCATTTCACGTTATGACACTAATGATACAACGCATGACACACTTTACATAGCTCCACAGTCCACAGTACAATAATGTCTAGTGTCTCGTCCTTCATTATATGCATCAAAATTAATAAAAAAGGGAGATCTTACCTACGGTTATATGATGATCTAACGATTATAAACCCGACGAAATGGTTCCGAGAGCATAACTTTACCCCAAAAATTAATTAATAATTATGTACATGCTTACACATAAAAGCGATTATCAAATATATAAATGCAAACAAATAAAAACATCTCCACAAAAATCAAATTCAATTAAATAACGACTTAAATCAGAACGGCAAAATATCATCCAAAAACACAGAGAACAAAAAATCAAAAAAAATAAATAAATCAGAAAACAGAGGACAACAGAGAAAATCAAAGGCGGCTCACCAGCAGCTCCCTAACGAGCGTTAGGTTTCCGTTATGCGCGGCGGCGAACAGCGGGGTGACATCTGTCCTAAACTCCTCGAACTCGACGCACACGTCACTCGCCAGCTCACCATTGAGCGCCACCTCAGCTTTCCTCGATTTCAGGCACACCGTGCCCCTGAAATCAACGTCAGCCGGGGGTTGGGAAATGAGCTCGAGCGCCAGCTGGAGGTCGTCGGCGTGAGCCGCCTCCACTAGCCGATGGGAAATCGGCTCGTCATATGTCATTTGCGTCATTAGCAGCGTATTTTGGGGTTTTTTGTGTGAGGCTGTGCGTGTGAGGTTAAGAGAAAATGTATGGAGAGTTATGACGACAATACGGTCGTTTTACCGCGTTTATTAGAGCTTTTGTGTGTGTGTGTGTGTGTGTGATTGTGTGTGATTGGATTTTAAATTACGATATAAAAGCGTGATTAATTTTGATTAATTGGGTGGCGATTTAGTGATGATTGCACTATAATCTCATGTCGTAATTCTCCTGTTTTTTGAATTCTTTTACTTCAAAGGTCAAGGAAAAAAAATTATGTAAATCCTTTTTAAATTTACCAACATATATATATATATAAGGTCTTGTTAATGAGATTACATTTTCTGAAATTGACATATTGGAATCATGATTTGAGGTAGTCTGACGGTTAGACGAATCGATTATTTTATCATATTTTTTAAATAAAACTGCAATTATATATAATTACTAAAAGTAACAGATTATAATATTGACCGGAGCAAGTCCAAATTGGTATATGAACTTATAAGAGGTGCATTTGATTAGAGGGTTGTGATCTTTCATTAACATCTATCAGAAATTATATGAAGCTATCGGATGGTTTTGGATTTTTTTATGGAGTCATTCATCACATAAGGTACCGATACTTGTTCAAAGTAGATTTATTGCAGGATACGTGTCAATACACTAATTTGTGAATAAATGTGGATGACTCCATAAGTTTGTGTATTCGATGGCTCCATAAAAAAATTGTATTATCTATAATCGTCTTTATATTTGATTCCATGTATGTTTTTAATTTTTCTAAATTAATATGTCGATCAACTAACATAGCGAGAGAGATTATTATATATACATAATGGGTATTTAATACGTATTGAAAAATCGCAAGATTTTAACGTAAAATTAATAGACATATTTGAATGTGTCACAGTGATTAAACAATAGTTTTATTACAGGGAACGACTACAGTCCTTTTGACGGAATGGTTCCGTCAATATTTGTTACCGTAAATTATCTACACAACATAATCTACATGTGTATCTAATGGTGAAAAACACTAATTGAACCATCTCGACCTTAGTATTTTTCTTTATTATACTTTCACTTGTGATAGTATGCTAACAAGTTTATATCAGTCTTTATCTATGTCTATTCTAATTAGACATGATTAAATCAAGCTCTCAGTGGTGCTATCTATGGCCTTAAACACAGGAGTTATATACTCATTAAAGTATTCAATTATATTCTTAAACTGCTAAGCGAAGATAATATGATGGAGATATTTTTTTTTTTTTCCATCATTTGGATTATGCAACATGACATAATGCTTATCTCAACATAATCTAATGATTAATTACATTTTTTTTTAAGTTTTGGGTAATCATGATGAACATAAATGTAAGCATTGGACACTATTAGAGCTAAGACATTAGTGCAAATATGTAATCAAATTGCGCAAAATTGTTATTCGAATCAAATTGTTAATGAATATAATTAATTTACAGTTTGTGAATGCGAGTTCGACTCATTCGTTTACTTAAACACATTAAGCAAAAATTGTTCACAAACAATTTATTTTTTATGTTTACACTTTTTTTTACGACCTTAAATGAAATGTTCGAGTTAACTTGTTCGCAAATGAATAATTCATGTATACGAACAACTTTTATAATTTATTTTAATTTAATAAACGAATATGGTCAAGTTCATATATATTCACCATCGTTTATTTTATTTTACGAGTTGACTCAATTCGATTCATTTATTGAACAAACACGAGTTCAGACCTAAAATATTATGAAGAAGAAATCTCGTAAAGGACCCGCCAAACTAAATTCACAGCCCAGGTACTGATAAACTAGCATTCGGCCCAATTAGTTTTTGACCGGGCCAGCCCATCTCCACGCGACTACTTTGATCATCACAATTTACGCCCTTGCACTCTACGCCGTGCGATTCGTATAGTTCAAACAATTTTGCATCATGACCGTCCGTTGTTGCTGGCGCACCCTAATCTACAGTAGACTTGCACATACCAAGGACCATTGTACCTCGCTCTCGTCTGCTCTACAGTATCGTCGATGGTTTCTGCTTCTCGGTAATCACCAGCTGCGTCGCCGGCTAATCACAGCACATTGGCTCTTTTCACACATTTGATGCCATCATGGTACGCCTTGTTCGAATTTGATCATCTTTTCTTCATGTCTTGATTTTATTATTTTGGGGGAAGTGTAAAGTTTGGATCTTGTTCATGGAATTAGTCGAAATTTCGAACTCAAGATCGGTTTGTTTGTTTAACGTGCTGGTGAATTCGAAGCCTTTATATTTCCCTATTTGTAGATGAATGCCGGTTTTCAGTTTTCTGGAGTTTTCAGTTTCGTCGTGAGTAAAAAATCTGAAATTTTGCTCAAAATGATTGGGCCGCGGTTTAACTGTTTGTGCGTTTACTTGTTTTATTGTTCTCATAATATTGCAATATATATGTTTCAGTAACTGTCTGGGCAAGTGTGAGGCTGTGAGCTAATGAGCTTTGTTGTGAAGGCTGTATATTCTGGCCCAAGAATGAATATTTTCTAGAGCTAGTTTGTGTTGTGTGGGATTTAGCTACTTGTTTCCTGTTTGAGCTTTGTTGTGGAGCCGCAATTTTCTGGGCCATGAACGAATATTTTCGAGAGCCTATTCGTGTTGTGTGTGATTTAGTTACTTATTTCCTGTGTGACATTGTTGTGGAGGCTGTAAGCTGTAACTTTTTGGTCCAAGAACAAATAATTTCTAGAGTTATTTTTGTGTTGTGTAGGATTTTTTTTTTTCTTTTTTTTTGTTCTCTGGGAACAATGAATTTGCGTTGAGTAACTATTGAAGGTTTCCTTTGCTGAGGTTAAAAAACTGACTGATGAAGCCACACTTAAAATAAGGTCATATACACATGTTATATCTTAAGGTGTTGAGTGATTTTGATTTATGTTAAATTACGTATGTATACAGTATACTCATAGTTTATAAAGATATCGTTCCCTTCTTTATTTGCCTCCTATTCCATTATGTGGTTTACAGGCTGCTAGCCTGATTTCAGTGTGTCAATTTATTTTCTAGCATCATTTGCTGCTAATTTTCATACCCGATTGAGAGGAAACAAATCAACCCCACTCTTAAAAATTTCATGACCCGGAACTAAACTTTCGTACCATCAATTCCTTTTCTCGTTCATACATGCACCAGTAAAGAGCATTCTTTCTCTGCAACGAACTTCTTTCGTCCAACGTTAGTGGGGCCCGGCAACAAGACTGTTCAGTGCACAAGCTTAGAATGTTTGTGGTAGAGTAGAATGCCTTTTACGGTATGTTGGGTTTTTATTTTCCGAGTTAATTGTGACGAGGCGTTGAGGTTTAGGTTAATTGTGACGAGGCGTTGAGGTTTAGGTTAATTGTGACGAGGCGTTGGGTTTTATTCAAGCCCAAGGCACGTATGTACGTAATTTTCAACTTGACTGTTTTGAGTATATGATAGAAGCAATATTATAGAGACAGTACATATTATTGTTAGTTTGTTACATCTCCAAATCAAAGTCAGCTTAGGAAGGGAAAAATATTATCTGAGTATCTGTTTGGTAAATATGAAGAAAAATAAATATATAAATGAACATCCACTTTGAAGAGTTATCTGTTATTCAAAAGATAGTGGAGAGACTGTAAAATAAAAGAAATAAGGTTGGTTTGCTGAAGGGGTAGTTTTTCTTTTTGTAATTATACATTTGCTCTGAATACAAGGATTTAACGCATTTTTAGACCCTGATTGTTGAACCTCGTTATGCTGCTGTTATATCTGAGCGTTTCGATATGCTCGGCTGACTAGAGTAATTTTTGGCGGTCCGACTTATCATTATTAGCAGAAAACAACATCCGTAGATCAACATTTATGTGAATTCATTTTTTCCAGTTATTTCATGAGTCGTGCAATCTTGCCAGCTGACAAATCATATAAATTTACCCTCACAATTTGAAAATTCTTTAACATGTACTTTTGTACGCAAGATTCTACTTTCGATATGTTTTAGTTCGACCGGTTATTGTAAAATGATGTAAGATGGAAATTCATCCCTTCTGGATTTTCTCCCTTAGAATGTCTTTCAGCTAGACCTTTTTGTTGTGTTGTTCATGACCTGTTTACAGGGCCAAAGTGTTTAATGAAATGTACCAATACAATTCTTTACTGTTGGCAAGGCTGAATATGGATTGAACTTATGCTATTTTGGAGATTTTATATTTTTTTAATTGCTTATGTAGATCTTCTATATAAAATGGGTTGTTGACTTTTTCCCTTGCATGTAGGGTTATTCGAGCCGAGCTGAGTGCTTCGTGTTTAAGCTCGTAACAAACTTAAAATCGTAAACAAGCTGTTTGCGAACACGATTTGTGCATTCACAAACTCGATTTCTATTTCGACATCTATAAAAGTTTATTAACCGACTCGTTTTGGATTTTGTACCCTTCTCTAGTTATTTATCTTTGTTTTGATGCTAAAAAAGTTCTTCATATCTCGTGCATTTAGGATGGATCTGTTCAAACTTCAAGCCTTGTGACAGTCTTAATTCTTAAACAATAATATTTACGATGGGCATTTTTCTAACAATAATTTAGGCAACTTTTAAAATTATTCTAAGGCGGTCAAAGACGACTTTTCTGGACTAGTAGCTGTGCATCATTTTCATATTATTTTTGTAGTGATTTAAATTATTACATAACATTATTTTAAACTGATCATACTTATAGCAGAAAAAATAAATAAAAATAAAAATAAAAGTGGGGAAAAAAGAAAGCATTAAAATTTGCATGTGGAACAATTAATTAACTTTTAGAATAGAAAGATGAACGGAAAATAAATAAATTGTTGTGACAATAATGAAAACAAAAAAAGAAAAAAAAAATCCATTATATATTAAAAAATTGTCAGAATTATCTTTATGTAAACCACCAAACCTTCAGTCCCTCACCTTTTAATT